ATTTAATAAGGAGCAAATTTACAAAATTAATTCTTTTCAACCACCAATAAATGTTTATAACTTTTTTTCTTACCATACCCAAGATTTAGTAAAGCATTTTCATGAATTTTATTTCTAATTTAAAATCCAAGCCGAAATTATGGTACTTATATTTTTCTTCAATTATTTCCTAATTTAAACCAAATCAACAATTTACCGCCTATATGGGAACTGCGTCGCAAAGTCTAACGGACTATAGTCATTAATTTTGTTTTAAATTTACCGCCAAAATTAACGCACGCCCATTATATGTCAGTACGCTTCTATGTCTATCTCGGTTCGATCACCTTGCGCAAGCTATCTCTCTCGTTGGCTCAATCCATATTATATATCAGGGGTGGCCAAGCTCCTTGATAGTCCGAGCCATTTTTCAAAATTCGAAATTTTTCGCGAGCCGCAATTAAATACGTATATATTAAAAAGGTATGCAAAAAAGGTATTAAAAACAATTTTTTTAGAGAAGTTTATATTTTATATACTAAAAAAAAAAGGACCCCGAGTACATTCATCGAGAGCCACAAATAATCATTCAAAGAGCCGCATGTGGCTCGCGAGCCGCAGTTTGGCCACCGTTGTTATATATAATCAAAGACATATTGTTATTTTTATTAAAATTTTATTTTTGTTGAAGGTTTTTGAATTTTTTTTGTTTCATATATGTTTTTTATAATTTGGTAGGTTGGAAGATTATTTACAACAGTCCATAAAATGTTTCTGGTTACTTTACTTGAAATTAACAATGAAGTTCAAGTAAAGTTTATTATTAAGGAATGTTCAGTTCTTTTAAAATAAACTAACAATTATTTATAAGCAAAAGGTTAACGTGATCAATCAGAATTGTTTTAAATATTTTCTTCTTACTTTATGTTAATTATAAGGGTTATTGTTAAAAATTATTAAGTTCTTTTAAAATATTATATAATTAATAATTATTTATTAATAATAAGTTAATGTGTTTTGTTTTGGTTATTATTTTCTGTCTTTCCAGTTTATAATAATGTAAATTTTTCCATTAGTATATATAAGAATTTCGAATTTCCCGCTAAGTTGGTACATCTAACATGGCGACCTTTCTGGCTTCATTTTAGGCGTGGTGGGGACAACCCAAGGTTTATATATTAAAGGTTGTCTAAGTTCCTATGCTGCAATACTTTGATTTTAGGTTGTGGGCGAGGGGCAAGAGCAGGAGTGTTTCGTGATGTAGCGATCACGGATTGCGCACGCAACCTCATGGCCATGTGGTGCTCCATGTCTTTGTTTAATTTGAATTGCTGGGCGGTATTATTTTCCACATGTGACGTAATGCGCAGTATGGTTGCGTACGAACCTAGACAACCTCTTATATATAAACCTTGGGGACAACCAAGGTTTATATATTAAAGGTTGTCTAAGTTCCTATGCTGCAATACTTTGATTTTAGTTTGTGGGCGAGGGGCAAGAGCAGGAGTGTTTCGTGACGTAAGCGATCACGGATTGTGCACGCAACCTCATGGCCATGTGGTGCTCCATGCATTTATTTGATTTGAATTGCTTGGCGGTATTATTTTCCACATGTGACGTAATGCGCAGTCTGGTTGCGTACGAACCTAGACAACCTTTTATATATAAACCTTGGGGGACAACAGCATACGCACTCTAGATTATATATAAGATCTCAATGCTGTACACATATATATACTATCTCCGGAGATAGTATATATATATGGCTGTACACCAAGGTCACAGATTACCAGATGCTTAACTTATACCGCTCTCATTTGGACCTCATATTCTATCTCTCTCTAGAGAATTGAAATTGTGTAGATGGCGGTAGTGTAGTCGATCGATAAATACGAGCGGGAATTTGAATGCTCGTTTAAATAAAAATCTCATTACTCTTTAAATTTTTTTTTAATAATAAGTTCCAAAAAATCAAAAATTGTCATCTCAAAACTTGAACAAGTTTTAAGATGAAAACAGTGATTTTTTTGGACTTGTTATTAAAAAAAACTAATAAAAAATTATTAAATAAAAATGCAAATTTCAGAAGAAGAAATCTATGTATATTTATAGACAAAAATTTACAACTATAAATTTTTAAATATTTAATCGTTTTCATGGCAAAAGGGTGCGTTTTTGTACAATGGTAAAGCATTTGCTTCAAGGCTAGAGGAAAACCCATGAAAAACTCTAGCATACCATAAGTCAAATAAACTTCTAGACAAATTTAGGAATACGAATTGTTATTGTAAACAACAGATTTAAGACAGCCAGAATAAAAAAATACTACAGAGCAACTAAAATTACAAGTATTACAGCGAAAATGAGCAGTACACAGTATTAGTGATAAAATGTTGTTTTAGTTATAAAATAATTATTGTTTCCGAATTAACAATTGATATAAAACTTTAATATTTCTTTTTATTTGTTTCTGTTCCTATCAATTAAAATGCAAAAATATTTGAAACTTAATTAATGCTTTATTATTATTACTATAACTTAAAGTTAATCTAATATTAAAGTGAGCGAAACAATAACAAACCTAGCAAAATTTATCAGCACTAAAACAAAACAAAAGGAACAGGATTCATGTAACATGCTTTAGTCTTAGTCATAGTTTTAAGTTCTTAGTTCATCATTTATCATAATCATGGTTTGCATTGCTTTAACTATAATCACAACTAAGACTTAAATATATTGCCTTAATTCATGATTAGATAATTGGAAAGTAAACATTATTACCTTTAAAAACCTGAGTAAAATATTCTGGTTTGTTTAACATATCTCTCAGTAATGTGGTTTTATTTTCATAATTCTTCTTAAGTCTCCAGATCTGTTTCTCTTTGTTCTTTAAAATTCCTATTCAACATAAAACTTTCCATTGTAAAATGATTATTGCAAATTGTCATTCGGCTAGAATATATGTTTTCTACAGGAACACCAAGGCACTCATTCCATGATCGCTGTCTAAAATATCAAAGTAAATTTTCATTTAGTACAAAAAATCTATCTAACTTAAATTTATAAATGTACTTATTGGTATTTAATGGAAATCAAAATAACTTGACCACTTCCTCTACCGAACGTCCGCAAATGTAGCAAATCCTATCCATTTTGGTCCTTACTTTACCACCAAAAACCAACTAATTCTAAGATAACAAAGTATGACAATAAAACTAAGGAAAACTAAATTATGCAAACAAATAAACTGCTAAACAAATCTATAATCAAACGATACAGATTTGTTTAGTAGTTTAAATAATCAAACGATAAACACGCAAAACTGCACAATAATTAAACAAAACACAGAAAGTTCGTTAGTTCTGACAGAACTGGACGTAGCTGTGGGATTTACAGATTTACGACTTAAAATACATAGCGCCATCTATTGCTTTCTCTTAACTCTACGAGTTTGCGATTTAAAAATTTTGAAATAAATGGTGCCATCTATTGGCTTGTTTAAATACTACTGTAACGCGACAATTGCGCCATCTACACAGTTTCAGTTTATGTGAGAGAGAAAGTACCATACGAATTTTTCATTTGTTGAACAAGGATAGATAGGAGTGCCAATTTATTAGCCGGAGTCCGGCCTCTGTATACTCTGTGACCAAGGTTTATAGCAAGGTTTATATATTAAAGGTTGTCTAAGTACCTATGCAATACTTTGATTTAGTTTGTGGGCGAGGGGCAAGAGCAGAAGTGTTTCGTGACGTAAGCGATCACGAATTGCGCACGCAACCTCATGGCCATGTGATGCTCCATGCATTTATTTAATTTGAATTGCTTGGCGGTATTATTTTCCACATGTGACGTAATGCGCAGTATGGTTGCGTACGAATCTAGACAACCTCTTATATATAAACCTTGGGTTTATAGAACATGTTCTATAGACCTTGGCTGTACACTAAATCACAATTTTGACGTTTCGAACATAACCTAATTCAACGTAATTCCTTTTAAAGAACTTTTTTATAAATTTTTATCATTAACACAGCAATTTTTATATCATACCTTGAAATATTGTCTTTTATGCAATAAACAAAGATGATAAGATTTTTTTTTTATTTTGACGTTTTCGAACGTATCCTAATTCAACTCAATTTCTGTAAAAGACTTTTTCTCTACAAATTTTTATTATTAACTCAGCAATTTTTATATGATTTTGAAAATAGCATCTTTTATCTGCAGTTTTTGATATAAATCTGTTTGTTAACTTCGATAAATAAAGTGAATGAGATTTTTTAAATATTGACGTTTTCGAACGTATCCTAATTCTACCTAATTCCTTTTTGATGACACTGAATAACAACTAAAATTAAGGTTAACGCTAAAACTAGAATTAACACTTGACCTAGAAGTAGAAACATTCGGGTTTAGCCGTCTTAAGAGACGTATGGCTAAACCCGAATGTTTCTAGTTCTAGGTCTAGTATTAGTTCTAGTGACAGTGTTAATTCTGGTTTGAGCTGTTATTCAGCGCCAGGTTGTTGTATATTGCTATTGAAATGAAACTAGAACTAACACTAGACCTAGAAGTAGAAATACTCAGGTTTAGCCATGCGTCTAAAGACGCACGGCTAAACCCGAAACTTTCTAGTTCTAGTGTTAGTTCTAGTTTCAATTGTTGTTCAGCGCTAAGTTGTTATATATTTTTATTGAACTGAAAGTAAAACTAACGCTAAATCTAAAACTAGAATCATTCTGGTTTAACCCGAATGGCTAAACCCGAATGTTTCTAGTTCTAGGTTTAGTGTTAGTTCTAGTGCCAGTGTTAGTTCTACTTTTAGTTCAATAAAAATACCCAACAATGGGACGATGAATATCAACTGAAACTAGAGGTAACACTAGACCTAGAACTATAAACATTCGATACAATAAAAAAATTTCAATATGTGCTAAAGATTGTTAATTAATTGTTATGATCAATGAAAATGTTTATTTTTAGACTTCATCGTTTCATTAAAACAAAAATTTCAATAATATCCCAATTATTACAATTATAAGAAATAAAGCAATCTTAATTATTTTATCTTGCCATTTTCGATTAATAACGCAATTACAATACGGCATGTTTGTAAACGTGACGGAAATATAAAGGGGGATCCAAAAATTTGGAAAATACCGATATAAAAATTCGTCGAAATTCTTTCTTAATCGATAACTATCTTTTGTGACTAAATGTCGCATTTCTTTATAATTATACATGGCTAATTCGCAAATTGCGTGTCCATCTTTTATCCTTTCTCCGCTAAATTCTTTGATACTTTTTATAAAATCGTCGTTATTTTTCGTTAAAACGCGATCGAATAAATAACAATCTTCGAAACCCGCATTCATTCCTTGGCCGTAAAACGGAACCATCGCATGTGCTGCATCTCCGATTAATAAATAATGTTTTCCAGAGAAATACGATTTACAATTAATCGATATTAACGATCGTGGTTTTAAATTGGATAAATTTCCAATTTGGGATTCCCCCAATAAATTAATCGTATCTTTAAATTGAAGTTTAAAAAACTCCATCCAATCATCCCCATTTTTAAGGTTATCAAACATTTGAAACGGCATAAATAAAGTTACGGTCCAAGACGAATCAAAATTGGGTAAAGCAATCATCATAAAATCATTTCTCGGCCAAATATGTAAACAATTCGGGATCATTTCTTCACTTTTTCTTGATTCTATTTTCAATTCGACGTATCCGTGTTCTATGTAGGTTTGAGAAAATGAAAATAAATTGTTTTGTTGGTTTCTTAATGCGCTGTGAGCTCCGTCCGCACCAATTATTAAATCGAAGCTTTTTGTTATAATTCCATTTTGCGTTTTTATTGAAACCGATCCGTTTTGATTTGTTGATATTAATTCGGAGTTAAAATTTAATTTGACGTTTTTTTTGCTTGAAATAGCTAAAAGAAAAAATTTATTTATTAATGAAGAATTAAATAAATCATTTTTTTACCATTTAGTAATATTTGGTTCAAATTATTTCTACTTATAGAATATAAACACTAAAAAAAAATAATAATACAGGGTCTGTCACGACGAGCTGAGTCTATATGTATGTAGCAAACTACTGGCACTATTTTTCTGAAAATTTACGTACAGGTTTATCCGAGGAGCTCGTTTCAGCTACAATATTTTACCCTACTTCGTTATTTTAAATGGAATGTCCCAATTGTTATTAAATTTTCGAGATCCCCGTTGAATTTTAATATAATTCGATATAACTCATTATATGTTTATTTAGACTGCACCATTTTTGAGTTATTTCGGTTTTTTTGAAAATTTTGGCAGATGCAGCCCTTCACGATAATAATTTTTCGGAACTACATTCGAGTTTGGCCAAATTGTCTCAGGGTTTGTAGCAATAAGATTCACAGCTTACATAATCATTGAAAAGTTTTTTCAACAATTTTACAGGTTGGTCAGAAATTTGACCGGTGTGAAAACAGCATACCAAATATAGCACGCCATTTCACCGAGGTCACCCGGTATACCGGGTGTCCCATCGGTTGTGGTATCCGCTTTTTTGACATCTAAATTTCAAGATAGAAATTCCAAATTCGATATGTATTAAGTCACCCCACTTGGCCAGGTGGTGATTATGTCAAATAAATTTTTTATTGCACGCTTTGCGAATAATTTGCAAAAATGTTAAAAACGATGAAATTTATGGTTTTATTTTTTAACGATTCTTATGTCATATGATGTGGGAGTCATAGTTAAGTAAATTCACACCAAAAAAATTGCGATTTATTCATTATTTACGACAAAAATTAAGAAAAATGAAATGACACTTAAATTTATGATACCCTGGGCCGAGACTACTACCCTTACCAGGAGCCACTCGTTTATTGCCTATTGAGTAATAAAGCGACCGTCCAGCTTAATTTTGTGCCGGTTGAGGGTTAATTTTGAACTTATTTTATAACGAATATAGTTTTTAACTTAATATTAAGGTATCTAAATCAATTTAATAGAATATTATTAAAAAAATTAAATGTGTTTATGTTTGACAAAAAATTTTCGGAAATTCCTAGAAACATTAAAGAGGTTGTTTGTTTGGAATAACATTATTTAATTTTTATGCCAAGAGATTGTTTTGTAAATTGTAACAAATGCGTGAAGAAAATAATTACGACAAAAATGACGTTTCGGGGAATTATTATTTTCTTTTCTTACCTGAAAAGGTGTAATTTTGACGTACTTTTATTTCTTTGGTTCAGTTAACGTGTGATTTTCCTAGAGTTGATATTGAAGTTGTGCAAACCACTCAGTGTTCAAAATGCCATTAACGTTTTCGAATAATGAAAAACGGACATGATTTTAATTTACGGCGAGGCAAGGCTCAACGCTTGCTTAGTATCACAGATTTATTTAAATAGATTTGCGGATAGAGTCACAGCTAAGCCAAGAACATTTGAAAGGCTTCTGGATGGTCTTAGGGAAACTGGTTCCCTTAAACCTAAGAAAAGGACTGTAGTAGAATAGCGTGATACATACGAAATGAATCAGGCCCTCTTACTAAACCTTGTGGAAAACGATCCACAGGTAAGTTTTCGAGAGATAAGTAGTCAATATGGAGTTACAAAGACGTCGGTTCTAAGAGTGTTGACCTCTATTCATAGATATCACCCATATCATATCGACCTGCACCAAGAGTGACCAAATGCATATAAATAAGAACTTCTTTCAAAATGTTTTGCAAGTTTTAAATCATGCGGCAATGTCAATAAGCATAACTTGCACTATTGGGCGCCAACTAATCCACATTGGACGCGACAAGAATAAAATCAAAATCGTTGGGCACGGAACGTGCTGGGAGGCATTATAAATAACTATTTAAAAGAGTCTCATTTTTTTAAGGAAATTTGTCAGGAGAAATGTACACTAACTTTATCGAAAATGAATTAGACGATTACTTAGAAGACATTCCGTTAATAAACATTGTTTGTAATGATTTGTGGATGCAGTAGAATGGGGCTCCAGCCCATTACTCCAGAAATGTGCCAAAAAAAAATAAATAATATATATAAATAAAATTTTAATCGGCACCAAGGAGATAATGTCCAAAATTCATTTAGATACCGATCACTACACACCTGGTCCATTGGTTTATTCCCCAACCGGCAATAACCAAGCAGCTCCTAGTAAGGGTAGTAGTCTCGGTCGACGGTGCCATAAATTTAACTGTCATTTCATTTTTCTTCATTTTTGTTCTAAGTAATGAATAAATCGCATTTTTTTGCTGTGAATTTACGTTACTATGACTCCCACATCATATGATATAAGAATCGTTAAAAAATAAAACCATAAATTTTGTCATTTTTAACATTTTTGCAAATTATTCGCAAACCGTTCAATAAGAAATTTATTTGACATGATCACTACCTGGCCAAGTAGAGTAGCTTAATACATATCGAATTTGGAGTTTCTATCTTGAAGTTTAGACGTCAAAAAAGCAGATACCACAACCGATGGGGCACCCTGTACGGTGAAGTCGGTTTCACACGCCTTAATTTGTAAGCAACAAAGCTATAGAAAATTCGACGTTAATACTAATTTCAAAAAATCAATCAATTGACAAATAGCAATAAATACATATAGGTACAATAAAATTAGTGGAAATAAATTTACCTACGATTTCGTAAAGGCTGTTTTACCGTCATATAAAAAACTCGTCTTGTTAACCGCGGCAGCCGTCAAATATCTAATAACTGCTAAATATATTAAATAGTATTAGCTGTTCAATAGCGTGGTCAAATTAACTTGCTCTGACTTCGTAAGGGTTGTTTTATACATCCCATACAAAAAAATTCGCCCTGTGTTAACGACGGCAGTCCCCAATAATTTGATAGTTGCTAAATATACTAAAACATCCCATCTATCGAATAGCGTGGCCAGATTTACTTGCTATGACTTTGTAAGGGCTGTTTTATTTACCCCCATATTAATCGCCCTGTGTTAACGACGGCAGTTCCTAAAGATCCGATGATTGATAAATATACTATAACATCCCAGCAATCGAATAGAGTGACCAGATTTACTTGCGCTTACTTCGTAAGGGCTAGTTTGTTCACCCCCAATCAAAATAGTTAATTATGTGTTACATTTCTGTACACTAATTGTAAGTAGTAAAACTTTCAAGGCTATTAAAAAATACTTATCAAAAAGGTAATATTTTTTTAACCGCCGTATCTCCTAACCCAGCGATACTGGTGTAGAGCACATGCTAAATCGGCATATTTTGATGTCTTTCGAGATTTCCCATTCTTTCTGAATGGGTGGAAGGGTTGAGAAAATGTTCAGCAAAAGTGACTTCAGGTTAGCTCGTTTGGTCCAAAAGTTGATACGAATTTACGATTTAGGTTTAATAGGTGTTGTTGGTAATAAAAAAAAAATGTCAACAGTCAATAATAAATAATAATACAAACATCCTTTTTTGCACAAAATCTTTTGTTCAAAATCGACGGAGTGAAATCGTTGTGAGATATAGTGGCCGAGAGTTCCTTATTATGTATCGTTTATAATATTATTCAGAAATCCAACGAGTATCATAAAATACTTACTTTCTAAATAAATTCTGTAGATTGTTCGTCTTTTTTAGTATTTATAATAACGGGCCGAAGACTTATGGTTAAGTTGTTTTCACCACCAATCTAAAACAAAAAACAGTGTGTTTTCTTGATCCAATGGGAACGTCAAATGAGGAAGGTAACAAATATTTGACATCATTTTTAACGTTTTTAAACTTTTATAATCGTTTCAATAATTCTACCTTCGATGTGAACACATTTAAAACCGTAAACTCCAAGCATAGCACACGAAGAGATTCTTATAACTGTGGGCTCTATATAATTCTTTAAGTGTCTTGTGCATGATATACCTTTGACAATAATTTGTGACATGAATGTGTACAGGAAGGAGCTTAAGACAGCGTTGACAGAAACATTACCATCAAAATTAGTGATGACAATATCAGATAGTGCATGCCGACTGAAAGTAGAGAGGCAACTGTCAAGCGAATTAAAGTGTCCTCCGAACTGAAAGAAGGAGACGGATTAGCGCCCATACTCTTCAACATATTACTCGAATATATTACGAGAAGAACTGGAGTCGGTCTGGACGCTACCTTCATGAACAAATCTGTACAAGTGGTGGGATATGCAGACGATCTTAACTATGTGAATTACTTTAATAGATTCTTTCCAGTAAAACGAGTACAGATACATAAAGACAGCACGCAAACCTTACCGACTCATCTTCTAAAATTACGGAACTTGGTTTCGGCTGAACAGACGGTTGCTACATTCGACTGTGACTTTAAATCAACCTATAATTTTTACAAAAATCTTTATGACACCGAAATTAACCAGCTAAAACGCAAACGGAATGATCATATACTTGAACGGTCAACTAATAAGAACAAAAGTATGTGGAAAATAATTAATGAACACACAGGGAAGCAAAAGTCATCCAATCTCCTCTTCACGGATGACCTTCAATATCTGGCTGATGATTTTAATAACATGTTCTCTGACAGTGCCGGTGGTTTGCCTGATATAGTTGGAAAAGGTTTAGATACAAGTTATAGTAGTTGTCCACATACGTTTTATTTTTTCCCAGTTTGCAAAGACGAACTGGCTTTGATTGTAAAAACGCTGAGTTACTCACAGGCATGTGGTATTGATGGAATACCAATGAACTTCCTAAAAAAATGTCCACAAACTTTTATGGATCCGCTATGCCACATAATAAACCAATCTCTTCAGTGCGGGATATTCCCTGAAAACCTAAAAAAGGCAATGCTTATACCATTATATAAGAAAGGCGATTCAAACCATATTTCCAATTACCGACCAATCAGTTTGCTAACTGGTTTCTCTAAGATCTTTGAAAAAGTAGTCTACAACAGACTGTATAATTATTTAGAAAAGTACAAATTACTGAGCGAGCGCCAACATGGTTTTTTGAAACGGAGAAGTGTGGAAACTGTATTATTCACGTA